ACAAGTTAAAAAGCATCGGACCGTGTACTGATCCCTGTGGTACCCCACTGCTTACCACCCACCACTGAGAAAATTGCCCATTTATACTCTTTATTTCCTATTAATCAGCCAGTTTTTGATCCACAAGAGGACTTATCCTTTTATCCCGTGACTATTGAGCTTACTTAGGAGCCTTTGATGAGGAACTTTATCAAAAGCTTTCTGGAAGTCAAGGTAAACAACATCTATTGGGTCCCCCTTGTCCACATGTTTGTTCACTCCCTCAAAGAACACTAACAGGTTAGTGAGACAAGATCTTCCCTTACAGAAACCGTGCTGAGTCTGTCTCAATAGGTTTTGTTCATCTATGTGCCTACTAATTCTTTCCTTAATAATAGTTTCCACCAATTTACTCGGTATCGACGTCAGACTGACTGGCCTGTAATTTCCCGGATCTCCTCTGGAACCCTTTTTAAAGATGGGAGTGACATTAGCCACCTTCCAGTCCTCAGGAATGGAGGCAGATTTTAATGAAAGATTACATATTTTTGTCAGGAGATCCACAAGATTTGAGTTCTTTCAGAACTCTCGGATGTATGCCATCCGGGCCTGGTGATTTATCAGTTTTTAAGTTGTCTATAAGTCGTAGGAACTCCTCTCTCATCACCTCAATCTGACTCAGGTCTTTCAACACCCCTCCTGAAATCAGTGGTTCTGGAGTGGGCAAGCACTTCTCATCTTCCACAGTGAAGACAGAGGCAAAAAATGCATTTAGCTTCTCAGACATTTCCTATCATCCTTCAGTACTCCTTTTACCCCCTTGGTTATCCACTGCCTCCCTGGCTGGTTTCCTGCTTGTAATGTATTTGAAGAAAGATTTATTGTTGGTCTTTATGTTTTTTGCTATATGCTCCTCATATTCCCTTTTTGCCTGCCTGATCACAGACTTGCATTTTATTTGCCACAGCCTGTGGTCCCTTTTATCAACCTCACTGAGACTAGCTTTCCACTGTTTAAAGGAATCCTTCTTACCTTTTACAGCTTCCATTACTTTGTTTGTTAACCAGGCAGGCTTTTTTCTATACCTATTTGTGCCTTTCCTAACCTGCGGTATATATTTTTTCTGAGCTGCTAGGATTGTAGTTTTAAATAGTCTCCAAGCTTCCGAACCAATGGTTTTGACCCTTTCTACTTTTCCTTTCAGTTTCTTCCTCGAATGTCCCCTCATATCAGAGAAGTTACCCCTTTTAAAGTTAAAAGTGGTTGTGTCAGTCTTTTGGGGCAACTCCCTATTTATACAAATGTTAAACTCAATAACATTATGGTCAATGTTCCCAAGCGGTGCAACCACTTTTACATCTCTCACCAGGTCTTGGGCGTTACTTAGGACCAAATCCAGGATCGCCTCTCCCCTGGTAGGTTCTGTGACCATCTGTTCCATAGCACAGTCATTAAGACTGTCTAGAAACTCAGTCTCTTTTTCCTGACTTGAACACATATTGACCCAATCAATGTGTGGGTAGTTAAAATCACCTATTACGACACAGTTATGTTACGACACAGGTTATACTGCAACTTCATATTAACATGATAGAGTCAAACATAATCACAAAACACACTTAAAACTGAACACTCCTTGTACAATCTCCAGGTGTACATCAATATTATAACACTACTTAGGCACTATACATTCTCTAAATATTTAACTTTATTTTTGCACTTTTTTTGAAAGTAATATGGAACAATTCTTATGATCTCAAATGTCTCTTAATACCTGCAGACATGACAGGTCTTTATACAGAGATGCTGGTTGGAGTCAACCCAAAAGGTGCTTCTTTCCCCCCCAGTGTTCTCCATTTCAGTCTTATGTATCTGACAACTAACATATTCTGATTGTAGAATAATGCAATGCTTGTAATGTGCAGAAGCAGTGTGCTTTATGCCACACACCTCCAGGACTCCTTTATCGGCAAAGACATTCAGGTTGGATGCTGTACTTTCATTTCAGAGTTTGGGAAGACTTTACAGTAATGTCTGTGCTTTTAAGGTTTATTCAATTTCTAGAACAGAATATCCTACAGTCCATATGCAAGTCTTGCACAGGTAATTAAAATGAGTGCGCTTATCAGTAAAATAAAGAATATCTCCATACATATATGCAGAGTGCTAACTCACACTCGTACCAATCTCTGTGCTCAACAGTTTTTCCCTGCCACACTGTAGTTACAGGCAAGAGTTATTAATCCAGGCATTCTGCTATTCTTTACTCCTTAAATGTAGGATATACTAGGGAGCAAACCATACCATTTAATACCTGAAGGTTAGAAATCACCTAGTCATAAATTTTATTTATTTAGTTTAGATTGTTATGCCCTGCTTTTCTCCCCAACAGGAACCCAAAACAGTCTATGCCATTGTTCTTCCTTCCTTCACTTTCCCCTACAACAACCTCCCTATGAGTGAGGTTAGGCTGGAAGAGAGTGACTGGCCCATGGATAGCAGTGGGGATTTGAACCTGAGTTTCCCAGATCTTAGTCCGACACTCTAACCACTACATAATGCTGATGCTCAATACCACGTTGGCTCCTTACAAATATACAAAAAGCTATTTACTTTTAAGTGACCACTATGCAGCAACAGATTTTTATTCATATGCCTGAACTGGAAGTGAAGTCCCTTTGTCCCTTGCACTACATCACTTTTACCATACAACAAGAATATGGAACCCACCCTCACAAAAATGCCTCCTCATACTACAAATATTTCCAACTCTCCAGTAGGGAATCAAAGGTCTACAGCTGCAGCCCTGAACTGGATAGCCCAGGCAAGCCCAATCTCGGTAGCTAAGCAGGGCCGACCCTGGCAAGTATTTGGATGGGAGACCTCCAGAGAATACCAGGGCCGGGAGGCAGAAGCAGGCTATCAAGCCACTTCTCTGAATGTCCTCCGTGTCCCTGTAGGAGTCGCCAGAGGGTGCCATGACTTCCAGGCACGGGCACACGCAAACGCAAAACTACCACCAACAACCCAAAAAAAAGGTCTACAACTGCAGAAATGAGAGGCAAGGTAATAGCACAAATGAGGCTTACTTTCAGCAACTATTAGTGAGTGCTTTGAAGCAGAAATACTCAGTGCGCTAAAGCCGAATCCTTGCATACATTTTCTCCAGCTCACTCGCCAAAGTGGTAGAGTACAGAAATTGACATGGGGGTATCTGCATTCAAAATGCGAGGTCAGCCATGGAGTTTGCTGACTTCCCTTTAGATGAGTCTCACCTCACGTGACTCTTGTGAGAACAAAACAGAATAGCCTCATGCAAGTCACCCCAAGCAAAGTAAATACACCAGGCAGACTGTTAAAATTATAGTTTTATGTTTCTGTTTGCACAGAATTAACATATCATCCAATCCACTGTCTGCTTTTTTTTGCCGTCAAGTCACAGCTGACTTATGGTTGACCCCCTGGTGTTTTCCAGGCAACAGATGTTCAGAGGTGGTTTTGCCATTGCCTGCCTCTGTGTAGCAACCCAGAACTTCCTTGGTGGTCTCCCAGTCAAATACTAGCCAGAGCCAACCCTGCTTAGGTTTCAAGATCTGATGAAATCAGGCTAGCCTGGGCCATCCAGGTCAGGGCACTATCTGCTACTTGCAATGAAACAGCAGACTGTGCGTGTCACTTGCATAACTGTTATTTGAATTTTCTGCAGAAAAAAGAACTATTGATATGGAATGTAAGCACCACTTGCACATTCAGAGCTATAGGTAACCCATTCAGAGCTTTACAGTGAGATCTTAAGCAGAGCTGCATCTTCCTAAGCCTACTAACACCAGTGGGTTTAGACAAGTTTTTATAGAATGTCCTTCCCCTTATAAGTATGTTCTGAAGAACATTTTAATATATTTCAGCATAATAAATTATTTTGAGTGCATATGGAAAGAAAACAACAGATAAATTTTATACCTAAAATTAAATAAAATACTTCCTGTTAAAAAGGACTTTATACATTCATGGTCATAGTTATTTTCCACTTGTATGGAAAATGCTGCTACATGAAAAAGTGTTGCTATTCATTCTTAGGTTTCCCTCATATCCACCAATTGATAAGGGGGGGGGGGGGCTGGCCAAACAGGCATTTTAGTATGCAACACAAGAGAGAAACATGTATACATGGCAAGACAAAGGAAGTAGTCTGGAGGCAACACCACCAGTTAGAGAAATTCTTACTACCAGTGTCAATAAAGTAACTAATCAGCAAGCAAAAGAGATGCAAAATGGGCTTCAGTGGTAACGAAGTATTGGAGCACGTGGGTGCAGGAATAAAGTGGAGGTTATAACAGAGGTGAATGGGATACGATACTTGTAGACCTGTAGGGAGGGCAGCTAGGAGCTTGCTGAAGGGTGTGCTACAGTTGCCAACTCCATCTTGGGAACCTTCTAGAGATTTGGGGCCATGCCCTGGGAAAATGGAGTTTGGGGAAAGATGTTATGCTGCAGGATCCATCCTCCAAAGCTACCATTTCCTCCAGGGGAACTGATCTGTGTAATGTGGAGATCAGTTTTAATTCCAAGAGAAATCCAGGCCCCACCTGGAGATAGGTAACCCTACCGACGAAGGGAGACAGACGAGTCCAACCGAGCCTAGCAGCGCGATCCTACGCATGTTTACTGGGAAGCAAGCTCCTCCGGGCTCAATGGGACCCATATCCAAGCCAAGAGTGCCTAGGAGAGCAGCCTCAGCCGGAGCAGAGAGGACGAATGCGGGAGGCATCTGCAAAGTTTCTAGGGCGTCGCATAGGAAGGAGACGCTAAGGCGCCCCTGCGAGGCTACCCGAGGATACTTCCAGAGGGCGTGCAGTGGAATGAGGGGCATCTGGAGGCAGCGTTCCCCGGGGCTAGGGGGGCTCCTGCACGGGGGTCCCTCGCGCGCGCGCTCTCTCCCGGGGGCTACGCAGGGGCTCCACTCCACACCCCCCCCCTCGGCCGCCCCTCTCGCCCACCCTGCATTGGCGCGGCGCGCTCACCATCAGCACTTTGGCCGCGTTCTCCAGCTGGGCGATCACCTCGGGGGCTCCCCCCGCCGCCGCGGCCGCCGCCATCATGGTCTCTCTTCAATGACGCGCCATGCGGTGCATTCTGGGACGAGGCAGCAGCTCAGCCAATCGCAGGTTGCGGCGGGCCGAGGAGGGCGAGTCCGGGGGGAGCGAGGAGGGCCGTTTGGCTGGGAGCGCCTCTGTTAGCGAGACGCGCCCCGCCGGCGTGGAGGGCAGTGAAGGCGCGCCGCTGGCCGCGCTTCTCCTGCCGCTTCGTTCAATAAAGTAATCAGCAAGCAAAAGAGATGCAAAGTGGGCTTCAGTGGCATGCATGGGGAGTTCCAAGGCGCCTGCCAGTGCGATCCTAAAGAGACTGACTTCATTCTAAGCTTTTCAGTGGGTTTCGACTGGAGTGACTGCAGAAGATTGCACAGTAAAACTCCATAGGATTGCAGTGTAAAACACCGTTGCAGGCGCCGACTTCGGTGTCAGTTCCCCCCAGCTCAATACCGGTCACTGTTCTATCTCTTGATCGAAATCCGTGAAGGGATTCTAAAAACAGACACGTGTCACACATTTGGTAGTTCGAATCTTGGGAAACGGGGCTTCAGCGTAGTGCGTGTCTCCCATTTCGCACTCATTGACTGTAGAAGTGGCATTGAGGAGATTCTTTAAAAAAACTTCTAGATTAATTTCACCCCGGATTGCGACTTTACATAGGGTTCGTAGCTCTTGGAATGTGTGTCGTCTGTTACATATATGAAGTGCCCCTTCAATGGCATAACTGCACAGTTTTCCTTTAATATAACAGTCAGGGGCCTAAAGAGCTACTTTTATTGTCCTTTGAACAGCAGAGCTGTTCGTGCAATATCAACAGCTGCTTATCAAAATTATTGACGGCGGGAGGGGCTGCTGTTTGAGAAACCCAAATCGAGAGCCTGGCTGAGTGCAGCCCTTTGGATCCCAGTCTATGGCTTTTAACAGTCGTATGCAAAGCGAGTTTTTAATGAAATCCCAGTCTTAAATTTTTTAGTGCATTTTACTATGCAGAAAATTTTGGATAGTAATCCACTAGTTATTAAGAATGAAGGCAGAAAAACAAGAACTGGCTTCCTAAATATTTGCTAAAACCCATCATAGGTAAATTGCTAAGTGAGGAGTATAAGCAGACTCTACTGTCTACAGTCCTGGAGAGAAGTATGAAGGTTAACATTTTTAGAGTTTATGATTTCATTGTGCTTCCCCTTTGACCATAAGATGTTATGGTCTCTGAGACAAGAGACCCATAAAGAAGGTAAACACATGTATCACAAATGTAATTTGTGAAATGTAAACATTCAGAGTGAATTAAAATTAATTCTCTCACTGTGCCAATTGTCTCTAACAGGTTCAAAACTCTGTTCATTAATGCATTTTCATATGTTCCTAAGAGTAATTAGAGAGAAATGTGAAAGCAAAATAAGTCTGGATTACAGATCATAACTGACTTTAAATTGTGTAGTATTGTCCTATAGAGTTTGAAGGTGACACCATAAATACATCATTGGAAGTATGTTACTTTCTGTTTAGTAAATGTGCTTCAAATGGCTGCCTTGGCTGCCTTAACTGTTCAGTATTCTTATTAACATAATGTAATTTCTCATAATTGTTAACAGCCATCATCATCCCATTGAATCAGAGCAAGATAATAAGAGTTTATAGTTTTGCTACAATTGCTGCCTTGTGCCTCTTCTTGGTCTGACCTGGATGGCCCAGGCTAGCCCAGTCTCGTCAGATCTCAGATGCTAAGGGGGGGGGATTTGGGGGGGGGGCTCAAGTTCCCAGAGTTTTCCCAGCATGCCCCCTCCAGGCTGTCAGGCCCTCTTGGATTTCCCAGCAGGGGCAATCCCCCCCCCCCCCGGGTAGCATCATGAAGCTCCTCAGGCTGTCAGGTTCTCAAGTTCAGTCAGGCCTGTTTGTCTGTGTATCAACTGAACAAGTTCCTAGTAGGAGGCACACGGATGGTTTTATTCGTTTGTTTTTACAAAGCTAAGAGGGGGAGGGGGACTTCAGTCGATCTGTGAAGAAACAGAGAGAGAGAGAGAGATCATGGAAGTTGGAAGGGAGAGATCAATCCACCTAGCAATCGGGAGACCTCAGTGGTTGGACACTGAAGAATGTATTGTCTGCTGCCTACAACACAAACTCTGATGTAAGTAAAGCTAGATTCTAGTCCCGTAGCACTTTATACCCCAACAAGATTATTGGGGTATACATATTTGAGAGTCAAAGCTCCCTTCCTAGGTATCTGACAACGGGAGCATTAGCTCTCAAAATATTTTATCCCAAAAATCTTGTTGATCTCTAAGTTGCATCTGGACTGGTACCTAACAGAACAAAGTTTGAATCCAGTGGCACCTTTCAGACCAACAAAGTTTTATTCACAGTATAAAGCTTATACTGTAAATAAAACTTTGTTGGTCTTAAAGGTGCCACTAGACTCAAACTTTGTATCTGATGTAAGTAATGGATTGAAATAGCCTGCTGGGGAGGGTGGGGTATAAATCTAACAAACAAACAAATAAATAAATAAAATAATTATTCTTTGCCTTCACAGATGGGATACTGATAATTGCATTATGTCTGTGTCCTGGTGGCCCTGCCTTAGAGAAAGAAATGGTCTCATCTCCATTTTACCTTTAACAGTGGGTGTGGGGAAGTGTTACCAAAGACAACCTTCCTACCTAGATGTGTGCTGCTGTTGCCCTGATTCCATCCTGGCTAAATTTGCCATGGCAGCCATGTTAGGAGCTCGCAATGCCTTAGTTTGGGGAAATAGAAAAGAGCAAGAGTCCAGTAGCACCTTAAAGACTAAAAAAAAATCGTGGCAGGGTATGAGCTTTCGTGAGTCACTGCTTACTTCTCTTTGGAGAAGGTGAGGTCAAGGCTGTCCTCAGGCTATGCTAATAGGTAGCCAAAGGTTTCAGCGGAAGACTGATTCACTGATGGGGCATCTGCAGCATTGCCAAGTGGGCTTGCAAAACCAGGCACCCACCTTGGTATGTCATGGTAATTTCATCAGCAAGTCTTCCTGAGTGCAAACTGTAATTACTATCAGGAGAGCCCTTTTGCTGACCTTGCCCGAATGTCTCTGAACCTACCAGCCTGCTCCAGGCATGGGGAAAGCCTCCGTCCTGACAGCCCTTTTGTCCACTCTACCTCGATACAAACTACTTTTGTTACCTTCTGGGAAGCTCCCCGCCCTTTAACTCAGTCAGAGCCAGAAAATCCATAGATTCTCATCCTGGACTCACCCTGAATTCCTGGGCCTTATTGTCTTTAACATTCTTTTGCGCTGGCTCCTACAACTATCACTGCTCTGCCAGTGAAAACTGTGCAGTCTCATACTATCCACTTGCACAAGGGCTGCCAACTCTGCTTTTCTTTCTTGCCACACAGGAGTACCCCTCCACTGCCTTTCCCCCCCTTTTGGATGCTTGGAGGTTTTGCTTTAAGCCCGTACTCTCAACCTGTGAATCATTGAAACAGACAATGTACTGGAAGTTAAGGTGATTTTGATATCCTGAGAGTTGCAGCTTTAGAGAAAAAGAAACGGAAGAGACATGATTTTCTTTAACAATTCTTTTTCGGTGTGTCTGTATGTGGCAGGGGGGAATAAAGCTGGCTCCCCACATATGGAAAGTGAGGTGATTCTGCCGTCCTAGACCCTGCTTCAACCAAAAAATGCTCCCATATTTTCACACCAGCGTTATCTGAGAAGCCAGTATTTACTGTGGATACTGAGGTGCATACTGGATATTCAGTACCCAGGATATGAGGAATGTAATTTGTTGATCTAAGACTGGGGAGACAAGAGTCCAAATCCCAACTTAGAAATAAAGCTCACTACATGTCTGTGAGCCACTCAGACAATCTCAGCCTAACTTACCTCATAGGGTAGTTTTGAGGAGAATAAAAAGGGGGAAGGCGTATTTCCTTTAGTCCACAAATGTAATTGTTTCACTGAAGGAGTTTATGACATCTTCCTTCTTAAGAGAGTCCTCTTTGACTGAGATTCAGACTATTTTAAGTGAAAAAAAATATTTTTAAAACCACATGATTAATTGTTGATGTTACATCGTTTTTGGAAATATAAATAATTTCGTATTGAAATAATTTAATATAGATTACTAAGTATGGGCCTGGACCAGGTTCAGCCCCGATCCCCCCTCCCTGGGAAACTGAGAAGTCTACACCCTTGCTGGTTAGGACTTGGATGGGAGGTCCCCAAGGAAGTCCAGGGTCACTATTCACAATGGCAAACCACCTCTGATCTCCTATCCTATGAGGTCTCCATAAGTCAGGTGCGACTTGATGGCACTTTCCAATCACCATGCCTCTGCTTGAACTTCAGTATCCTGCCAGTCTCAGCCAGCATCATCACAAGACAGGAACAAAGCTAAACGTAATTTAAGTTAAAATGCTGAAGCTGCAACACATACAATCCCTTGATTTGGGGATGGGCAGGAAAGCAGAGAGACAAGTCAGGAGAGACAAGCAACTGTTGTGTATGGATTCTCTCTGGGCACTCTTGCTTCCGTCATGATGCCAGGAGCCTCCAGAGGAAGCCAAAGGGAGGGGGACAGAGGCAGATGGGGAAATGTCGGCCAGCGGAATGGAGAATGTAAAGCCACGAGGAGGCCACTTGGTTTGCTGGCGGAAGAACGGGGCTCCAAGGGATGTTGTTGCTGCAGTTGCTGGCCTCTCTCACACTGGTGATGGTAAGAGATGCCATCCACCTGGAAGGAGCTGCCTGATTTGGGCACACTGCATTTGCAGCTGGGAAAATGTTCCCTGGGCTGTGCAGGGAATTCTGTGGCTGTGGGGCCACTGCTCTATCCTGGGAACCCAAAGTGACATCAGTACAGAAAACTCTCTAGCTACAGGGCTGCTCTACAGTCCACTGTGATGTTGTATCAGGCAATTTCCCAAGCAACTGTGCAGGGAGACTAAGCAGGATGCTCATGGTAAAAAGAGCAAAAGTAGGGGGGACAAGTTTTAAAAACCCACAGATCTTTGAACCTCATTTC